AGGAGGCAACCAATCCATGTTTCTTACAGTGATGTTTCTATCTCTCTCTCCCTTCCACTCTCTCGAAAAATCTATGGAAAAATATCCTCAGATGAGGATTAACTTAAAAAAAAGAAAAAGAAAGAAATCCCTGCCAAAGTTGCTGGCTCTGGAATATAACACGTTAGAAACCCAAAGTTCTATTTCTAAATCAGCTATTGGTATTACACAGTTTAAATTAACTATTTACTCTTTAAATTCTCACATCTGTAAATCAAATAACACTCTACCCAAACTATTTTTTTATGACTTCGGAAGGAGTAAACAATGTTGCAAAGGTAATGATCAATATTTTAATTCCCATTATCCACTACAAAAATAAATATTCCTTGAATATCTTTTATGTGCACAGTACTTGGCTAGCCTAAAAGTGAAGAGAGACAGTCTTCATAATCCAGATAAATGCAACACAGAGAAATGCCTAACTAATTATGATTATGATTACATGACAAAATTGAGGCATATCAGAAATAGTTTTCATAGGTACTGGGCTGACCAGAAGAGTCAGAAAAAATGAAGTTGGATTTGATCAAGAGACAAAATAAAAAGAGTAGTCATTACGTTTAGCTGGAAGAGAAGAGGTATGTAGGCTGCTATATCCTTTAGGTTCGCAAAGCACATCACTCATCTGTTACTGCATTTAACACACTGTACAGTCTTCTATTTATCATCCCCATTCAGATCGTAAATCCCCCAAGGCCAGAAACCATGTTCATTTTTCTATACATAATCTTTAGCATAGGGACAGCCACACATGATAATCAATAACTGTTTTTTTGAACAGGCAAGGTAAGGACAGGATTCCCGATTTAAATTACTGTATTTTAACCTAGGCTATCTGTGCAGGTTTACTCACTGATTCTTAACTTCAAAACTACCATGCTAGCCTCTGATCTATGGTGCGGGAGCTGAGACTGTGCAACTATACTAAGCTACTCTTCTGCCAGGAGCTCCCCGTTAGACTTTGCCAATGGAGGTACTAAACGAAGATTTGAAAGGAAGAAGAGGATGAAGGGACTTCTTACAATTGCTGACAGCAGCAACTGGTTCCAGCCCCCAAATTCTTTCTGTTCTCCCAGAACTAGCCATATCAGCAGCTGAACACTGACCTCCTCAAAAGTTTAGAACCAGGCCCATGGAATCTTTTCTCTGAGCTCTTAGGTTGACTAATGTAATGTTCTCACACCCATCTAACCAACTCCCTATATTAAATCACCACTGTTGAAATACCTATTGAAATTTCTGTTTTCTTTACTGGACATCAAATACATTATTAAACACGGTGATTCTAACTGCTCTCCTCTGAGATACCTTCTGGCTATTTCAATGAAGGATAAAGAACGTTTGGAATTATTCCTATAGATAAAAATCTGTTCTATAAAGGATAAGTCAAAACCTTTTAAATCTGTGCCAGTTAAGTTGCAGCACAAAAATTAACTTCTATACTTTAAACTATTCAAGATGAAAAGAAAAAAAACAACAACAACAACACAGAAAACAGAGAGGAGATGAGAAATAATTTAAACAATGCAGGTTATTCCAGGTATGCACACCCACCTCTTTTTACTACAGACACAGCCTAGAGAAAATGGGAGACGGTAGACCTGATCTCAGTTCCCACAAGCCTCCCCTAGTATGAGCATTACACCATTCTGAATGGGACTGTTATATTTAAAAACTTTTTTTTTTTTTTTTGCTGTTCAACATGGCCTCTAAATGCAAGCAAACTACTTCTCTAGTGTTCAACAAAAGAGACAGCACTCTGTTCCAACACTAAAACTGAGCTGAACTTACAGGTATGTTGTTCTCCCTTCTTAAGGGATTTTTAAGCATAATTTTTTACTACATGTGATTTTCATTTTATTGACTTTAGAATTTAACCTCTTCATAATATACAGCTCCACACTTTAGCAGAAACAAAAAGAAATCCCTCTCACAGGAATCCACAAGCAACACATCTTCTGAAAACAAATGACCAAAATGCTTTGATATTTTAATGAAATGCTTAATAAGATGACTTCATTAAACAATTTATTCTGAGGTTAATAACAAAAATAATATGTCATTGTACTTAAACTTATTTTTTAAGAATTATAACAAAATGGAGACATGAAGAAGCAGCACACATGTCGTTAACACACTCTCTAAATGAAATGGGAGAAGGCCAATTCAAGCAACAGGACTCTTTCTAAGAATGTTTAGTAATTTATGTAGGTTCTAAGCATCCAACAAGAGGTATCACTAGGCCCAGACAAGTATCAGTCCACTTCGGCTGCCTACCATCTGTAAGACAAAAGAGAAGTAAAAAGAATCTCAAACTTGAAAAACTATAGTCAGTTCCATGGGAGTTCCTCCACATAGCATAAAACTGATTAACAGCCACCTCCTACCTATGGACATAGGAACACCAGCTTCTATTTCAGTGCCAAGAGTTGCATTAGCACAGTCAGCATATCCATGTAAAATCAACCAAACTGTACTTAAAAGAGACACCTGAGGACCCATGTGACATATTAGGTAGAAAAAGTGAAAAGACTGGGGGGGGGGGGGGGGGACATACAGGATAGATGCACCTTCAGGGAATGAACAGGGTAAATGTTACTGTACCTTCGTACCCAAAATTATATGGGGATCTAAACATTCAATAAGTTACTACGATAACAGAGATTTCAAAGAAAAAAAAAAACACCCAGGAAATTAAATAACTGCTGTCTGATGACAATGTATGTATCCCACAGCATGTATAATAAACAATATTAATTGAAAATCAAGCATAGATCTGTATGTGTGCAGAATATACATAATCTCATGGTATTTTTCTTTTTTAAAAAATTGCAAACTGTAATGCATTGTTTAATTTCTCCAGCTTTAATAAATGAGGCGCTACAACATTATGAGGTGCTTTAAGTCATGCTAGAAATGCTGTCATAATTTTAATAAAGTGCTTTTTAATGTTAACTCACTTCTCTTGGCTGGAAAGAATTATGCTTCTTTGCTAATGTATAGAAATGAAACTGTCACTGAAACATCTGGTTATATATTATTCATTAGACATATATCACCTTTATCCAACGACTGCATAATATAAACACAAATCATGAATAAATCAGATTAAGAGATAGACCTGACATCCAAAGATGTTTGCTGACCTGCTCTATATTTCTATCCATACAAACCAGGAACCTAGCTGTCAGAGTGCTCCTCACAGGCACGAGAAAACCAAAAAATTCTCAATGTCTGCATTGTCTGCAGCATGTTAGCGGTTCTAATTTGAAATATGTTTTTATGCAGCACATTGAAGGACCATCAGCATATTTTTCAAATGCTCAAAGGGGACTGGCCTACTCAGGCGCTCTTCCTTCATAAAAATCTCCATTTCACTCGCACACCTATTATAATTAACCTCAAACGTGGACTCCACAAGGGTACCTCAAGGAAATAACTCAAATCCCTAGAAGGGAGAGGCCATATTTGCTTGTGCTACTATCCCTGGAAAATGGAGTCTTACACATAACGACCAATTATTTCGCTAGAAAGTGCGACCAATGTACAAATCAAGATTTTAAAAAGATACCTGTTGATTGTGACAAAAGCAGAAACTTCGGGGGGAACCAGGAACATAACCGAACCGCGTTGCTGCCACTTAAATTCTTTATAAACCAAAGGATCAAATATTCATCTTAAGAACCAAGATCTAACACCCATCTGAGCTGTTAAAATATTCAACAACCATACCCCAGGACCAGCGAGGAAGGTAGATGATCTACCCCATCACGCTAAGTGTTTCAGCCCATCCTCCTGGAACTGCCAAAAAGTAGACCCTGTCATGCGGAACCACTCACACGCCAGTTTCCCAGTCTAAAGCGGGGACCCCACGTCTCGGTTTGAATTTTTAAAAGAAGTAAATAAAGCGTCGTGAGCATTCAAGCAACCGAATGCACGCCTACCCACCTCCCAGCAAAATTTCTTTGCAAAACCTGCCATGTTCACACATAAAGGCACACAGTCTCCAAAACTTCTGACGGTCATAAAGTAGATTCACCCCCCCCCCCAAAAAAAAACAAACAGACCAAAAGCTTCAAGGAGATAAGCCATTAACTAGGACTATGGCCTTGGCGGGCAGGTAACGGGAATGAACCTCAAAACTGGTGACCGCTTTGCAGGAACAGCACCTCCGGGAATAGGGGGGGCGACTTGTGAAGGAGGGAACTTATCCTGACAACCGGGCCGAGGGCTCCCCGGCCACACCGGGTCCCCCAGGTCTCTGCGTCAGCGACAGGACTCAAACCCCGAAGCTCCCGGCAGAAACACGCCGAGACCCCCTCCCCCCACGGTCTTCGGGGTCGACCTGGCGATTTAGAAGCAGCAGCAGACCCTCTCCCCCCAGCTCCCCCGGCGGGCGGCACTCCCGGCAGGTTCTCACCCCAGGATCCTCCCCGCGGCCCGGGGGAACCCCGGCGCCCATGAGCGCCTCCCCGCACCCCGACGCCAGCACCCCGGGGGGGACGGGGCTCCTGGCACAGAGCGCCCCCACCCCGCCCCCACGGCCGAGACGCACCCTCCCGGCCGCCAGGGGCCGAGCGCGGAGAAATCCCCCGCATTCCACGCCTTTCGCCGCCGGGAAGGGGCCGCGGGGAGGCTGGGGCCCCGCCGGGGAGGAGCCGGCGCGAGGGGTTCGCGGCCAAGGAAGGAATCCCGGAGCCTCGCCCCCGGGGTCCGCCACGAGCCCGACTCGCCGCCCCCGCCAAGACCCTCGAAGGCTCGGGAACAATGAGAAGCCGCCTTCCCCGCCATCCCCGCTCCGAGAGCGGCCGGGGGCGGCGACGCCATCTCCCCTCACACCCCCGCGGACACTCACACACACACCCCCGGCCCTGGCCGCCGTCAGCCGCCCGCAGCCCGGCCCGGCCCGCCCGCCGCTCCCGCGCCCTTCGCCGCCGCCCGCCGCCCGCCGCACTCACCGGCGCCTGCCCCAGCCCGGACTCCGTTGACCGCGGCCGGAGCGAGACTCGGGTCCAAGCCGCCGCGGCCGCCGGCGCCGCCGCACAATATGGCGAGCCTGGGCTTCCGCAATGGAGCTCGGGAACTACAACAGGGGCCGCTCAATATTCATGAGAGACCGAGGGGAAGCCGGCTGGGCCAGCGCTGCGGGGAGGGCGGGAAGGAGCGAGCGAGGGGGCGGAGGCGCGGGACGGGGACGGGGACGGGGACGGAGACGTGCTGGCGCGGGAGCGCCGCCGCGTGCTGGCCTGGAGGCCCGAGCCGCCGCCCCGCCCCGCCCCGCCCGCCGCCGGCCACGCCCCCGCCCGCCGCCGGCCACGCCCCCGCCCGCCGCCGGCCACGCCCCCCGCCCGCCGCTGGCCCACGCAGCCCCGGGCAATGACGGCGCCACCTCGTTCTCGTCCGGCTGCTCGCTGAGCCTTCCCCGACCTCGGCCCATCCGTCCTGCTTCCCGGGCCGGCGGGGGGGCGTGCGCCGCGAGCTGAGCTCCCAGCTGGCCGCCCCCTCTTGCACCGCACGCCCCTCAGCAATCCTCCTCGGGCATTCACCTCCGGGACTTCCCCTGAACTTCGGCACCCTGCCGCCCCCTTTCAGCAAAGACACACTTTCCACCCTGCACGCTGGACCTGCAAGATGCAATGATCCCGGGGAAAATGACCTTCAGTTCTCAAAGCATATCGTGGGACGTCTGTAAGCGTTCTCATCAGCACCTGCTATTTACCTGGCTGCTCTTTGATTCCTACCTCTTTGGCCCCTTCCAGTATTACCTTCTGAACCTGAGAATATACTGGTAAGAATAGGTTAAATACCTGTAATCATTACCTAAAACACAACCAACTAGTCTACAAAAAATTATATAAAGTGCACAAAAATTAAGCTATACACTGAAGAAGTAACAAAGAAGTAAAAGAGTTCCCTGATCTCAAGATGTACTACTATTGGTGAGATGTAAAGTTCTCTTCCAAAAGTCAACAGTAGCGGGGCACTCATGGATGGCATAAAGGAATGGGCTGCACTGGGAATTGGGCAAGCTAGGTTTATGGCCTTCAATGTGTCTCTAACTATGGGACTTCAGTAAATTACATAACTCCTCTGGATTTATTTTTTCTTATTTGCAAAATGAGAGGATCGTGTTGAATGATTTTTAGGTCCTTTCCAGCTTTCGAACTCTCTAAAGCTCTCTACAAGCAATGCCAAATAAGTGGCTTGAATTTACTTAGGATCTTGGAAAAGAAAAGGATCAATTTCAGGTGGTGTGTTCAGATGATTTCCTAAAGAACTAGGATTTAAGTATCTAAAATATTAAAGACATGCGTTGTATATCCTGTCAATCCATTAAAGTAAGAGCAAAGCATTATTATTTCAGTGACTTGAAAACTTTCACCTGCTATCTAGAGCTTTAAATAAGAAAGTACAATTCTCAGATTCTTCCAGGTGAAGCCTTTCCTCCAATGTGAAAAATAATCAGTAATGCTTCTAATTCTTCCTTCCAGTAAGGTCAACTTTCTAGAAATAATGCAAGTGCAGAAGCATCTCCCGTCTTTATTTATGATGACTGCATGTGTAGTTCAATGAAAGATCTTCATAATTCAAAGTATTTTGCTCTAGTTAAAATGCTTATGAAAATAATGATGTGCAGTTAGATTAAGAAAGTCAATTGGTGTTGGGAAAAGTGATTATTTGTAGAAAGTGCGGGAACTTTATGGATGAAAGTTAAATATAGTACTTAAAAAAGATTCACATGAGAATTAGTGGGAAAATGGAAAACGTATGGGATATCTGGAATAAGTGTGATTAAAAAGCTAGACCTCGGGCTAGCATCCTTAATATGGAAGATACTACTGATACATTAATGGAACTCATATTATCTATATTATCTCTTACTCAAAAGCTTGGCCCTATGGCTATATTAATTAGGCAAGTTTATGCTAGGCAAGCATAACTTTCTGGAAGTCACTCAAGAGATCCAGTGTTATAAAATGAAACTTGGAGTTTTTTTCACAACACCTGTGAGCACAATAGGGGTTCTGGGTGGTTGATATTAGTATTGTTCACCATATTCCCAAAGTATTCATTAGAAGTGATAATTATATTTTAAGTAGGAAAACATTACATTAACACTACATAGGTGGATGACTAGATAACTCTGGTTAAAATATTTTTCCCCTCAAAAAACAAGGAAAAATATGTTTTCCCTTCAGAAGCAATAACCTGTTAATCACACAGTGAATTAGGTAAGCATCTCTGATCACAGCATTGCCTCTCTACTGGCTGTCTGCGATGTGTAATGCTACAAAATTAGGGAGATTAGTTCAGCTCAATCAACTTTTATTGAGCATCTATTATGTGCCTACACTTTACCAAATGCTTGGAATAAAGGTATTAGTGTAACTTATGTAATTAGGACATTAGTTCCTTAAGAGCAGAAATCTTGCCCATCAGTGTACACCTAGAGAATAAGCACGATGTTTGGCACATATCCTAGATGCTCAAGAATTAGGTGTTAAGAGAGTGAAAGACGGGGAATCTTTGATCCCAATGCGTATGGGAAATAGAATGAGCTTGGTTTACTTCTCACTGTTATTACTTAAGAGCCGAAATTTCTATCAAGATTGCATTTAGTTCCTCCAGAGGCTTGCTTTCTTTAGGCAGTGTGTCTTAAATGGAATTTCACACCTGCCTATTCTGTATCTACCACGTGGATTTCTTTTCAGCCGTTCTCCAAATATCTAACTGTTATGTGCTCATCTAAGATGAAGACTGCAGACCACCAACAGATAAGCTATGTATCTAACCCAGTTTAGAGGACACTTTTTTTTTTTAAAGAAGTTCATTGATTTTAGGAAAGGAAGGGAGAGGGAGAGGCAGAAACAGTGATGTGAGAGAGAAAAATCCATCAATTGCCTCCAGCACATGTCCCAACCGAGGGGTCGAACCTGAAACCTGAGAATGTGTCCTGACCAGGAATGAAACCTGGCACCTTTTGGTGTCCAGGACAGTGCTCCAACTGAGCCACCCTGGCCAGGGCAGAGAGCACTTTTATATCCATGATTTCACTGAATCTTCAAAACAGTCCTCTGAGGTATCATTCCTACTTTATAGGCAAGGGAAATATGACTTTTGTTACATCGAGCGCAAAGTGGCAGAGCTGAGGCTCAAACCTGGGTCATCTGACTCCAAATCCAACACACTTTCCATTAAGCCATGTGTGCCTTCCAGCTCCACACTGCATACACAAGTTTAGACTTTTTTCTTTCTAACTGGTAAGCACTATGTGAGACAAACGTCTACCTTCCTCTCAGCACTAGTTATTATTCTAATCCTCAGTGTGGTCTATTTTCAAGAAGCTACAGATGATACTAAATATAACAGTATATGGACCTGATTCATTGGCAGAAAACCAGCCGGTTTTGTTTTTGTTTTCTTAGAACACTTGCTTTAAGAAAACAACCAAATAAAATCTAAAAGCTAGGTTAGAAGACTGGAATATATGTGCAATGCTTTCTTTGAAAGGGTCAAGTTAAGTAGGGACATCGTAAAAAGGCCAAAACAGACTTATAATTCAGGGTGGCTTCAGGAAGCCAAGCAACTCAAGATTTACAACCTTGTCAGCTAAAAAAAGAAAAGTACATAACTCTAGCCACAAGCTTTAGTGGAGTTTTATTTGTGTTTCAGCATAGTGTATTTCTTTTTGTGACACTTCCCTTGGTGTTTTGGTTCATTGTTCCTTTTTGTATTCCCAAGACAAAATAATTGGTGCTACTCTTAACTATCAAACTTAAAGGAGTGAAACAGATTAAATAAGATGGGCTAGTTATGCTTTTGAGGAGAACTAAACAATAGTGCTATTTCCCTCCTATGGTGACTTGGAATGGTATTTTTATATGTCCCAGATGTGACCACATTCTGCCTAACATCTGTTAGAGCATTTTATTAAAATAATGAACTAGCATGTGCTTGAAAAGTCAAAAGAATGAATAAAATTTTTCATTCTGATGTAGCATGGAGAGTCCACTGTTTCTTTGCAGTTAATAATGGAATACATAAATAGGAGATATTATTGTGACAGCAAATTTCAAACAAAATAAAGTAGGATTTAATAGTAAATGGCTTTTGTTTTCTCATATGAAGAAAGTTTGTTCCATTCAAACAAACTCTGTAGATGTTTTCTTTCAAAATGCTTCCTGCAAGAGATGAAATTTGTGCCTTGGCAAGGATCTAGAAACACCAAAAATCATCCTGGGAACTAACAAGGAATAGATGATGAATATTGAAATCCAGAACTCAAATGGAAACTTCTCTGGGAAAGAAGGCTAGAAGATCCCAGAGGGAAAGCACAGATGAAGAATGCAAACTATTTAAATCAAGTTACAACTTGCTCAAACTGCCTTTATGGACATTTAAATTTTTCCCATCTAAAGCAAGCGTGGGGCTAGAATGATTTTTGTGGGGTGAGAGAGTAGAGGGTAAAGACATCTCTTAATTAACACATTTCTTAGAAATGTGTTTTGTGGGTTTTTTTTGTTTTTTTTAGTAGAGAATTTAAAAGAACTGCCAAATCCCACCCATACAAAGAAAGTTTTGTTTTATTTTAGACTACATCAAGATCTGGAAACCTCTGCAGTATCCATCTGCTGACTCATTAGCATTTTTTACTCCACAAAAGCAAACCATTTAAATATACATTGAATAACATACTAAAGTAGGTTATAATTTAGGTCAGTGATTTTCAGCCGGTGTGCCGTGCCAGGCACACTGGTGTGCCACAAGAATTTTTAAAACATGCCATACCTGACTATTTAAGTCAGGAGTACTGACCTCTTTTCCCTTAGATTATCAAATAAAAAAATGACAACAGCCAACACAACAATAGCCATCTGGTGTGAATGAATCAAAATTATGTCTATATTGTATTTGTGAGATTGGCAAAAAAAAAATATAACATATTTTCTGGTGTGCCACAGAATTTTAGTAATTAGTTTACATATGCCATGAGTTGAAAAGGTTTTAAATCTCTGACTTAGATAAATCTGAAAATCATCCTGGTAACCTAGAAAACTAGGGTTTTCTGTATTACATACAGGAAGAGAGATTTTTCTAAGGATTTTTGTGTGTAGAAAAATTTTGTTTTATCATTTTTTTAAAATAAACATTTTATAGATCATGTATAAGATTCAAATTTGTGCTTCCTTAAGAATTATGAAGTCTGCCACTGGGTAGTAA